CGGTAAGTGTTTTAACATAAGTGTTCCTTTTGGGACAATACTAACCATCGAAAGTGGGCACTACGGCAGTTAGTGGTCAGTGCACATAAGCAGTGTACTGACGGAAGTATGCGGAATGAGACACAGCCATAGAGAAACGTATCCTTGTGTCCTTCTGAAACTCACATGGTTGTAGTTTAACTACTGTAGCTGGTGAACTAACTGCTAAAGCACTAGCCAGCTAGCGAGATGAAAGCACTATCGATTCACAATAACCCTGTGACTTTTAAAAGCAACAAGCTGATATCAACAATCGACTGGAGCAGCCTGAACTCTGGCGAGTTCACTTGTCATTTTTCTAACTTTAGTTTTTAGTCGTCATGGTTACTGCATTTTAAATAAACCGCGTTCAACCCGAGGACTGTTTTTAAGATTCCTTCGGCCCGACCGATGTTGTAGAGATGCCGATCCAGAACAAGTTGCATGTCCATATTTCTCTGCTCTTTATCACAGCTCGTCATCTTCGTACGGTGTGAATAATCTGCTGTTCGATTCACAGGACTGATAGACGCCTCGTTTCTTTCAGACGTGACTCTTGAATCAGTCTTCACATGAGAGACGGCTAACATAGCAAACAGAAGTTAAGACTTTAGGCTGACACATGAGTTTAACTGTCAGGTGTAACACTAGTGTTTAGGTTTTCTCTGCAGTAAGAAGTTGTTTGTAACATTGAAGAACTTTTTCTTTTGTTCTGGGTTGACTTTTTTATATTTATCATTTCTTATGTATATTTGTTTTTTAAGAAAAATAATAAAATGGAAAATTTTAATGTGTCTGTTGTCTTCTATGTAATGAACATTATAGCAAGAAATGTTTTTAATTGTCAGTTAATTTTACATCATTTTAGAAATGTATTAAGAGTATTAAACTTGAATTTAACAGTTTAATCTATTAAACTGCAAATAATGTATAGATTTATGGCCCTTCATTAAACTGTAGCAAACAGCGCCACCAGTGGTCATTAAGTGAACTGCAGTCAGCATCCTGTTGCATCATCCTAGGTGTTGGCCAACAGTAAACGCTGTAAAATAACTGACAATCATATTTATATTTTTATATTTATACCCTGATCCCTACATAGAAACACATAAATCGTTCCAAAGGTACGTTACAACCCGTTGACTCACTGACACATTAAACATACGAAGCCTTTGTGTTTGTGTCTGTGTTACAAGTTCAACTCAATTTTATTGTCGTTGTTCTACATAACACGTAAAAGTCTTGCAACATCAATATATTTTGGCTACTTAGCACGCTTATAGCTGACAATTTTGCTGACAAATAATCCCCAAAACATCCTATCCAACACTTTAGATTCTCAACATTTAAGTACAAAAATAATAGAAAAAGACAGATTTGAACAACAAACATTAACCAGTAGTGCAAAGTAAAAAACTGTTAGCAACCACATTCCAAGCTTTCATTCCCACAGACACAGAGACACAGAGTGTTCAGAAGGTTTTTATGTTTCTCTCCAGCTGCAACGAGCTCGTTCCGTTTCACAAAGAGCACTGTTAGCTAGTTGGAGCCAAACATTCATCAAAGATTGAGATTATCATCAGTTCTCTCTGGGCAGCGAAAACGTTCATCTGGAGGCTTTCTTACCCAAAGTTAATGTGGTTATAATGTAATAACATTGTCAGTCTATGTTAGCCTGTCAGAGAAATCTCATCTGGCTGCATTTCTTTAAAATTTTTCCTTTTGGTTTTGATAGAAGATGATTTTGTGTTTTTAAATAAATCTGATCAGTAGCAGACTGACCAAACTTTCAGGCCGACATGGAGCTAAAAACTAACCAATAAAGTGTGCGTTGAGTTTATTAGTTAGTTGGTTTTCCTGTAAGTTAAAGTGTTAAACTACAGTTTGATCTGCATTAATAACACTGAACACTCGTTACTGACCGTACAGCTTCCTGTTTAACACATTATTCATTTGGACTGTTTACATTATTATCATGTCAGGCGTTAGCTAACAGTTTCATTCAGTGTCTTCAGGTATCGAACCTGTAAAATGTGTAACCCGCGGTGTGTAAGTTCACAGTTATAATCAACCACTGCTGTCTGTACTAAGGTCAAAACTACTGAGTTTAAAATGATTTTAAAATGATTTACCACAACATCGTTGTAGTCTGTGTCTACATGAAAATAACTCAATCACATCAACGTGTATCATGATTCTGTAGTAATAACGATCCAGCTCATTATAATCTGACAGTGATATCAGTTAGTTCAGAGTTTTTTTGTCAGACATTGTTAAACAGAGGAACAGAATAACAACATTGTTAATTTCACCTGCATTTTAACATTTTAGTTTAAAAACTTTGTTTTTATGCTGAAGATACAACTTTGCTCATAAATACAATTCATTCATTTGTTAGCTTGTTAGCTTATGGACTGTTCAAAACTGAATTGCATTTAACGAGTCACTCGCTCACTAAACTGTCACTTTATGGTCAGTAAACTCTCCGTCAATAGAGTTGAGTTTTGAAATACGGGAGCATAAAATGGAAAAGAAAAATGGAAATCGGGACTTAAAATACGCGTTTTCTCAATTGGATGTGGATTTCGTTGTGACCCTGAAGTGACTGTGAGTAGTGACGTCTGCAGCGCGTTAAACATGAACTTAAACTCTGAGTAGTTACTTTTAACACCAGTAATTTTACTTATAGTTGAGTAATCTTTAAGATCATCAGTACTCTTCCTGCTCGGTACCAACCGTACGTAGTGCTCTGTGAGAACTAAAACTCATTACTTTAAAAATAAATGATTTGTGGTTAAGATAATGTAAAAGATATATTCTGATAACTTCTGAACTTCCTGTTTAGCTCGCCGCTAACTTGAATGTGGATAAAAAGATTTAATCGTGTGTCTCTTCTAGACTTTATAAATGTTATCGGACCGAATGGCTCAAATTCTGACAGTTAAACGAATCATTTCATCAAGATTCAAATGAACACAATGTTCACAATGTGAACTCATTACTCTGTGTGTAGTTACACAGGTTGGCCACTACATCAAATTGGCTTCAAACTGGGTTCCCACTCGTTTTAAGAAATCGTTTTCCAGGACATTTTCCAGGAGTTTTTCTCGAAAGTCCTGCTGATTTTGAGTAACAAACTCTTACAAATCAGTTAAAACAATATTTTGAGTTAAATTAACTTATCTGGTTTTTACAGTGCTTTTGGATACATTTCCAGGTTTTCCAGGACGCCTGGGAACCCCGTTCAAAGCCAGAACACAAAGGCGGGTTGAGGTCAGATTTCTGGTCTGGGTTTTATGTGAGTAGAGAATAAACCGCAGTGTGACTGCAGTGTGACCGCAGTGACGAGTTCAGGGTCAATTGTGTGCAACAAGATGCTCGTGAGGTAAGAAGCAGCTGACTGACGTGAGTTCAGAGTTCCTCGTCGTCCTCGCTGACGTTGGTGTCGAGCTCTTTGTCTTTACGTTCGGCGCTCTCCGTTACGAACTCCCTCTGCTGCTCCTCCAGCTCTCGCAGCTCCCCCTGCAGGCGGTCCAGGTGAAGTGCTCGCCGGTTCCTCAGCAGCCGGCCGGGGAAAGGGTTCATGTCGCTGAAGGCGATGCTGGTCAGCTTCCTGCAAGGTAAACAACAACAAACAACAACAAACAACAACAACATTTAACAGATTAATTCACAACACGGGGAAACGATTATTGCCATTTTTGATTGTTTTCACTGTGAATCTTTGGATCAATACATTGTACAACCTCATATCATCAAATGTCTTATTTCATCACTTTAATATTGGGACAGAAAGGTTTTGATTGAATGATTATTCAAGTAGTTAGATTATTTTACTGACTAATTGTTTGAGACCTTTAATACTGTTACAATAAGTATAATGAATCAATCAATATAATAGATCAGTCTGTGACTTTGTAACGTCATATGGCGTGTTCATGCTGGGAAAGTGACACTTTTCTCCCACAATGCAATTCAAAGGAAAGGGAGGAGATTCTGAAATAAAAGTATTAAATCTGAAGAAAAACATTTTGCTGTTTCTGAAGTTAACATGACTGATGTATAAAACAGGATTATTCAGTGTCTGATTCAGAGTTTCTACACGTTCAATTTTAGACTCTTTAAGACCTTTAAGACTTTATTTTATTATAGTATCAGTGAGGAAAGTCAGTATTAGTTCCATGTTTTTGTATACAGTAACTTCGACTAACATCGATTCATTTTAAAGTTCAAATTATTGGATTTTAGACCTGATAACTTCTATTTGAGGGATAATCAGTCAAACTTTAAGAACCGCTCCCAAGATGCTTTGGGGCATATAAACAGGAAGTATAATGCTTCCATTGACATGTTAGCTGGGAGACTTGAACCATTTGTTCACGTTCAGAATAAACTTTATTGAATCCTGTCCAGAGTGAACACAGTGGATCAGGTGTTTGTGTTCACAGTGAACCAGCAGGTGGCAGCGTTGACACACAGAACAGTCTGATGACAAAGGGTTGATGGTGAGTTTTTACCTGCCGTCAGAGATGGTCTTGGTGAAGAAGCGCAGGTACTGGTAGATCTCCACGCTGTCGTGGATCTTCAGGATGTCATCCTCTTTGTATTTGAAGAGAGCCAGTGCGTACCTGAAGATCACCTGACACACAGAAGCACACAGGTGATCTCATCAATACATCAGTTAAAATAAAAATCATCCAGAATCATCTCCACAAACTCTGTTCTCACTAATTCAATCTCCCTCAAAATAAATGTCAGTAAGACAAAACAGCAAAGACTGAATCCAGCTAATAATGATTAATGAGCAAAAGAATTTTAAATACCTGTTTATGATGTTTGCACATTAATTAGCATTAATAATCAGCTATATGTGTCATGGTAATTTTAAAAAGTGGCTCCAAAAAAAAATTTGGGAAACACAGACTTATATGATTAATACATTTTAAAATCAGGAAAGCTCAGTGTCATTGGTTTGAATGTTCAGATGTAATATTTATATAATTTATATAATAATAGATAATACATTCATATTAATTATATAATATTTCTTCAGTTCTAAAGCATTTTGTCATTGACCTGTGTCTGTGCTGCTGTGATTATGTATTACAGTTTTTTACGATTGTTTACACACTAAAATAACTTCTTCTAGGCCTCCTTCCATTTTTGTTGAAGACAGGTGAACTCACCTGCTGCCTTTATAAGACACACCTGAGGTGCTGGTGTTTTCAAGTTAGCACATGGTGTCTTCCCAGCATCTGTATGAGATGTGATTATCCAATTTGTTCATTAGTGTGGTGCATTGGCAATCCGGGGGGGCCTTTGTAATGACAAGGAAGTAACCTGCACATCGCGCTTAATCTGTGTTCTAAGGTGTGAAAAATGTGTGTGGGAGTTTTAGCAAATCCACTATGTGTAATGTTTTTGCCAAAAAGGGTGAAAGCAGAGCATGGCTGGCTGTGTATGTTGTGCAAATCTGTGGGAGTGTTTTTGCTCCCTTGGAGTAGAATTTCGCAAATTTATGTGGAAATTT